AGGGAAATTGAGGTAAAATCCCCTTTTCTCCTGAGACAGCTAACTAGCCCTGGCCTGCCCTGTGCCAACCCTCTATCAACAGTAGGTCAGAGACACAAAAACAAGACCAAAACAAAATCCAAGCGAAAATGAAAGAAAACTTTATACAGAATGGAAGGTTTGCAAGTAGGTGGTCTAGTCCCATGCCTGACCTAGGCTCTCTGGGTGCTCTGGTTATCAGCCAGGACACCACACGCATTATATGAATATTAAGCCATCAATTTGCTATAGCTAAACAAACTGGCCAGTCAAGCTCCAATGAGGACATGATGGACCCTGGTTCTGTGCTCTTGCAGCAAATGGCCTAGCAGCCTCTACCTAAGGCAGCCTCCCATCCCATCCACCTCAGACCAGTTTCTCTCCAGTTTCTACGGCTAACTCGTGCCTGTTTGCTGGGAGTTTTCGTGCCTGCCCCTACTGCAGTGTGGATCCCCTCCCACTCTTTTTCCCAACAGTTGAGCTCTTGTTCTCAAGGGCACTAAGTCCCAGTCTCTCCTCCTCAGCCTGGGAGATGGTCACAGCACATTAGTAATCACTGACTCAGTCCAGCCCCCTAAGAAGGCTGGTGGAGAGTCAGAGGGACACAGGATGTGTGGCCCAGATCTCCTTGGCCCTACCCAGAGCTGGCAGGCAGAGAAGGACCAGTAACACAGCTTCCCCTTGGAACTCCACGGACCCTCTCTGCACCAGCTCTGGTGCCAGCCTGCTGATGTCAGGCTCTCCACCTCAGGAGAGGCCAGGATTCTAGACAGCTCCACTGCTGCCAGCAGATCTAATCTCCCTATTCCAAGACAGATGAAATCCAATAAGACTGCTAAGTCCACAACCTATCCCTCCTCACCAGCAAAGGCAAAGTTGGCTCCTCAGGCCATACCAACAAGATCAGAGTGATTCGTGCTTCTTAGAGAAGACTTTAGGGGAATTGAGACTATTTCCCCAAGTTCTCAGAGATTTACCTCTGTTAGCAAACGTTCACTTTCTTTCTCCAAAACTTCATTTTCAGCTCCAACATATATTCTCTGGCTCCCTGCCAGCTAGAACCAACCAGCTCTGAATCCCTATTCACAGAGCCACGGACATCAACGTCCAATCCCCACACCAAAGGAGAATCTCACAGTCAGCTCTAAAAACCTCATCTACAGGGTCCATTTTGGAACCTACAGAAAGACTAAAAAGAAGTACAGCACAAACCAGTCGCTCGGGCTTAACATGAAAAGGGGGTAGGGGGAGGAGGCGGGGTGGTTTGTGTATTGTTTCAATTGGAAAAATACCCTAGTGAAATGGTTTACCCACATGTTCAGCCTTTCAGGCAAATCCACTGTAACTTAGCAGGATGCCTGCAGGCCGTTCTCAGAATAAGTAGAATGGCATCACTCTTCCTTCCACCCCCTTCAGGAGCTGCCAGGCCCCTCCGCGTCCCCCCTCTCTCCCCAAACATCTGGTCTGGGCAGGGAGAGGGACCCGCTGCCTGCGGAGCCATGTTAACGTGAGAGGCGGTCTCCCCAGCCCGAGGAGCCTGACCCGCTGAGAAGGTGCCCAGCCGAGCGTCCCAGTTCCCCCACCGGGAGCGGCTCGGGAATGAGAATTCCGGGGACCCGGCAGAGGGGAGAAGTTATGAGGCAGCAAAGGGCGGAGGGAGAGTCGGGATCGCGAGGCGGTTGGGTCGCTGGCTGGGGACCCCTCCTCCTCTAGTGTCCGGCGGTTGGGGCGTCGGTCCCGAGGTCCCCGACGGGGCCGTCCGGCTGGCCAGCGGCTGCTCAGCATCAAGTCCCCCCAGGGGCGCCAGGACCTGGGGGGCGTCAGGAGCGGAAGGGGCTGGACTCCACTCTTACCAGCACCAGCGCGAACCTCTCCTCCAGCTCGCAGGGCTCGGGCATCGGCATCTTGCCCGGCGGCAGCAGCAGCGGCAGAGAGGGCGGCTGGGCCGGGCCCCCCTCAGTGCTCTCCAGGTTGCCCATCGCCGCGGGGC